GGAGCAACCTTTGTGAAGAGAGAACCTTTGTGGTGTGCCATTTTCGTGCACCTTCAAAGTCAGAACCTTTGAGGCAGTTTGGAGAGCTCCAAGAGCCATAGTTGCTCTGTTTTAAGCCTTGGGTAAGTTCACCTACCTTGATCATGAGCTTTAATGGGTTAAAGCTTGAGTCTTGGCATGTAATAAGTTAAAATGAAGTAACCAACATAAACATGAATCTGTAAGTCTGTAAAGATGCATGCTTTAACGTTTAAAAGTGTTAAAAATAGAACCTTTGGAGTGATATCTCGCGAAATACAGAATCTGCATTCTGTCGCGAAATATCCGGATATGATATCCGGATATGGATATCAGAATATGGATATCCGGATATAGGATCTCTGATATCCGGATATGATATCCGGATATGTCCCGACATATATCCGGATATTCTGGGTTTGCGTGAACAGTAACGGTACTGTTCGTACAGAATTGTGTTTGGGGTTTGTGGACCCTAGATTGATTAAGTTGGACTTCTGTAATAATTAAACTAAGTCACAATCTAAGTGATTAAGGGCTTGTGGCTTTGAGAGAAGCCTAAAGACATGAAACGTAAAGGAAAGACGTTGTCTTTGTGTCTTATGCGTGTTGAGTATGATATTGATATGATGCTGGTCCAAAACAGATTGTGATTCTGCTGTGTTTGAGCTTTGAGATTGGTTAGACTCTTGGCTTGGATTGCTAGCTTGCAAGGTAAGCTTTCGTGTACTCGGTTTAGCCATTGTTTGTTCCACCATAACCCATGGGGGGATGATTTATATGCATGATGTGTTTTCATGTATTGTTTTATTGAAATGCTATTGAACTGTTAAGTGCAATTGCCTTATGATATGTATGTGGTGTTTCGCCTAGACAGGAAGCCATGGGGTGGTCCTGTGGGCGAGTACAACATGGGCGTGTACTGTGTGGGTAATAGACGTATTCCTGCACTTCTCTGATCAATAGAAGAGTTATAACACACATGACATGATTATCTGTTGCGTTGCACTGATTTTGGAGCTGATATTGAATTACTGCTTTTAGAACTTATACTGCACATGTAAGTGAGCTTGGGGTGGAAGATCCTTGAGGACCCCTTGTCTTACTGAGATTTCTGTTTAGAGATCTCACCCCACGTTTGGGGCACATATTTCAGGTTCAGGTAACTCGGGGGTTGAGACCTCTGGCAGCAGGAGGCCGGAGCTTAGCTTATATATTGCTGTTTATATGATGATATGTTTGGATGCTGGATTATATATGCTGATGATATGCCTTTAGCTTGTTATTATTATGTTACTGTTGTTGATACTATGTTTGGCTTAGTTGCCTTATTTGGTGAGCATGCAGATTGTCCATGCCACATTGTTTGATTATGTCTTAGTTCAGATTTGAGATGTAATAATGTATCAGGATTATGTCCGGTCTACGTGTTGTAGTTTCGTGACTTAGTTACTCACAAATATTTATGTATTGAGGTATTTCAGTTAGCTGTCTATTTGCAATTTACATATAGGCAATGTTTTTATGAAAATGATTAAGTAATCAACTTGGCTAAGTATAATGACGTCATAATTGAAAGTAAAAGTTAACAAACCGGGTATACACGGGGTGTTACAGAGAGATCCTTGAGGACCCCATGTCTTACTGAGATTTTTTTTTAGAGATCTCACCCCGTGTTGGAGCAAATTTTTAGGTACAGGTACCTCTGGGGTTGAGATCTCCAGTGGCAGGAGGCCAAAGTTGAGCTGATTATGCATGTTTTATTGATATGCCTGGATTTCTACTATGCCTTGCTATCAGTATATGTTTATTTGATTTGAGACATTGTTGACTATGTTGCCTTATTTGGTGAGTATGAGGGTTGTTCATGCCACATTGATGTCAGTTATGCTTTTAGTCTTGAGTTGTATAATGTATCAGGATATTGTCCGGTCTACGTGTTGTAGTTTCGTAACTAGATACACATATATTGAATAAGGTTTTATTCAGTGTAGTTATTTATTACAATTTACATACAGACGATATTTTGAAAAAGAATAAGTAATCCACTTGGTTAATAATTAATGATATCATAATTGGAAAGAAAAAGTTAGCTTCTGCATTTATTTAGCTGCGCCATTATCATATGTATGTTTAATACACCGGATGCACGCAGGGTGTTAGATAACCTCTTCTATAAGTAGTTAAATGAATTAGAAAAAAATAATAAATTTGTAGTTAATTATTAGAACAAATAATTAACTAATTTGAAGTATATGTTACTTTTATGAAAAGAAATAAGGAAGTGTGTTTACCAACAAAAAAAAAATAAGGAAGTGGCGACTCGATTGTTAAACATCGTAACGTAAATATTTTATTTAAAAGTAATTTTCATTTATTAGCTGAGTATTAGTTAATTTATTTATTTTTATAGTATATTATTTTTAAAAATGATTAAGCTAGAATACTAATATTTATTTTGTGTAAGTATATTTAAGAATTTAGGAGAAGATATGTACCTTGTGATTAAAATACTAAAATTTATAACGGGAGAATAACTAATTCTGGGGAACGTCCGTGATTGTTTCCCGTCAGTAGTGAGACGATAAATTCTTCTAATTAACTGTTGATAGAGATGGCTTGAGATTGTAGAGAAGCACAAAAAATACCAGCATTTATTGTTAGTTAGAGGAGCTTCTTTGAAAATGTTTTCTTTGTGATAAAGGATTTATCATTATGTAGGGACAATGACCATATTGCCACTTTTTAGGCAAAATCTTATCTGATTGTCACTTCTGAAAATTTTTTTGCCAAAATGCCACGCCTGAATCCGGCTGGTCTGACAAGCGGGAATGGACTGGACACGTGTCAGCGTCTGAATGGTCAACCATTCTCGCTGGGCCGCTCAGCTAGAATGGCAGAATACTGACACGTGGCAAAAGTACAGACATGCAGAGAATGCCTGTGCTTTTGCCACGTGTCAGCATTCTGTCATTCTAGCTGGGCGGCCCAGCGAGAATGGTTGACCATTCATACGCTGACACGTGTCCAGTCCATTCCTGCTTGTCAGACCAGCGGGATTCAGGCGTGGCATTTTGGCAAATTTTTTTTCAGAAGTGACAATCAGGTAAATTTTTATGAAAGGAGTGGCAATATGGTCAATGTCCCCATTATGTACGGCATTTTGGACCTGAGTCCATTAAGAAAAAAAATATGATCAGTATTTAAAATAATGCATGATATAACATCTAATTGTACAGTTTAAATATATATTACTAATTTAAATATTTTTACATTATCATTTAATAATTTATTGAAACACATTAATTTTTTCAAACAATAATTAGGATGATTTTTTTATATTAAATAATACGTAATTAAATAGTAACTAAACAATTATATAAAAAGTGCATTTAAATTAAAAGTATAGTAATAATAATTCAGAATTGAGTAAGGAATGATTTATTTTGAAATATCTTGAAAACATCGTATCACATTTGTTTAATTTATATAAGGTTTATTAGAGTACATTAAAATTAAATACATATTTTTATTAATTTGGGTTTTCGTCTCTGTAATATTTTTTAATTTCTATAATTTTTCTGATTCAATTTTAAATTTCTTCTTTTATGTATTAGTACTTATATTTTTCATTTCTTAAGTTTTAGACTCTATAATTTATATTCATCAAAAGTAATTAATACTTCATGAAAAATGGATCCCTAAATTTTAACTTATATATGAAGGTATTGGTCCTTATTAAGTACCCAATAGGGACGTAAAGTCCTTATTAATACTTCATTTTTTTTCTTGATTATTGTGGCCGCAGAAAGATAATAACTTATTCTCCGACAGAAGAAGTTATTATCAATATATATATATATAGATAGAGGAAGAATTTATTTATAATTTTTTTTATAAATTCTTGCAAATTACACTATATACAGTGGTGGACGTAGGTAAGTGCAAGTGTGTGCAAGTGCACACATAAATTTTTTGAAAAAAAGAAAAGAAAATATATTTTGGATCATCAACAAAAATTATAGGATCCAATTTGATCTCTTAAAAAAAGTTGACTCGTGATCCCTTTAAATTCCAAAATAAACCCATGCTAGTCCTTTTGAGGGATTAATATGGGTCTTTTTGAATTTCAGAGGATCATGATTTTGATTATCTGAATCTATTTTTGAATTCTACGGGATCACGAGTAGATTTTTTTCCCTAAGAGATTAAATTGAGGCCCGTAATTTTTAATTTTTGTTGATGACCCAAAATGTTGTATTGTAACAGTTTAGTTGACTCTTGATTACTTTTTTTATATTAAATTAAAGTTTACTTTTTTTTTATATATTCTTTTGTATTTAATATATTAAAAATTTTCTTTAAATTTTTTTCTTTATTCTTTTATTGTAAATGTGCATACATTAATTTTTTTTTCTAGGTTCGCTATTGACTATAATTATCAGAAATATAGTGTAACCTAATGTATTTCGGGAAGTACATATTAATTATAGTTTGTAAAAGTTTACAAATAAAAAGTTTATAAATATAACTCTTCCTTTTATTTATATATATATATATATATATATATATATATATATATATATTCAACTCACGTGATATAAATGATTCCAAGAGATAGATACATACACCAATAATTGAATAATGAGTTGTGGACATAAATGATTCCAAGAGATAGATGTCCTATCTTCAAATTAACCATTGCAACAGTTTCACTTATTTTGTCTATTGATACGTACATCCATAGCTATAAAAGCCAAAAATCTAGAATACAATCATAGGTACGATTTGTGAACAAAAACGTGCCATGTCAGTTGCCTTTGCACCGGAAAGAGAAGAAAAAAAAGTGATTTTTGTAATTTACACACGTAATACATAATATAAATTACAAAAATTGCACCCCGTACGACCTTAGTAGCAAAAGTGCGCTCCTATAAATGGCCTCCGTCACGGTTAAAATGGAGAATCTAGTGAGCAAGAACATAACAATGACTTTCATTCCATCGGCTCATGCCACGGAGCTATTACCTACGCTGGTTAGAAATGCCAAGCTCTCTAGAGAAGAAGACAAACAGTTAGATGCTCAAGAGAATCATGGAGATATGAACCTTGCTATCACCAAATGCAGTGGGGAGACAAAAGCCAATTTGGCTGGAGTAATTACTCGCTACGTGGAAACTCTAAATCAGTACAATTTGCGCAACTTGGGTACGTAAGCTTTTGGTGCTTGTACTTTATCTCTCTCTCTATCTATAATGCTATGTATACTTACTTACGAGACTAAACTAATTAATGACTTCCACGCACAACTGCAGGCTATCCAACTAATCAGAATTTCAACTATGATGCATTAGCACCGTTGCTTCATTTTCACCTCAACAATGCTGGTGACCCTTTTCTAGGGAGCAGTTTTTCTCTAAATTCAACAGCATTTGAAGTTTGCGTTCTTGATTGGTTTGCAAACCTTTGGGAGATAGAGAAGGATGAGTATTGGGGATACGTCACAACTGGTGGAACTGAAGGCAATCTTCACGGGATTTTAATAGGGTCAGTTTTGTTGAACTTGCTAATTTCTAGAGCCTTTTGATATATTACAAACATGGATTAATATTTTTCATATTGTAAGAGATAATTTTATCTCTTATACACACATAAAAGTATTGAACTTCCTCCTTAATGCTAAGCTCAAAGGCCATTAAGGGGTTTGAAAAATCCTAAACTTTAAACTTTCTTCCTCCCCTTTATAAACATTAGTAGTGAGATGATGGTAACCATCTTGCAGGTGAAGCTTGATCTTTTGTAACCCATTATTTTTAGAGTAAGTACCCTTTATAAACATTAGTAGTGAGATGATGGTAACCATCTTGCAGGTGAAGCTTGATCTTTTGTAACCCATTATTTTTAGAGTAAGTACCCTTTTTGGTCCTCAGCAAATTTCACGATGCCCGCTTTAGTCCCTAACAAATAAAAAGGCCCATCGTGGTCCCTAAAAAATTCAAAATGGACCCATTTAGTTGAAATCGAGGTCCCTCACAAATTAAAAAAAGATCCATATTAGTCCCCAAAAGAACTAAAATGGGTCCATTTTGAATTTCTTAGGGACCACAATGGGCCTTTTTATTTTCTAGGGACTAAAGCGGGCTTCGTGAAATTTGCTGAGGACCAAAAAGGGTATTTACTCTTATTTTTATAGTGGAAGTTTGATTATGCAATAATGTCCTGTGAATTTTTACTTCTTCACATTGAAAAATGTTTTTCCACGTTAAAATCTGCTATGTTCTTTCTCTCTCTCTCTTCTTTGTATTATTCGTTTTTCCGCTATGCTGGCCAACCTGTTGATACAGCCCACCTTTGATTGAAGAGTCAAACTCCTAACTCGACGTTTCACTTTCGCAAAAGCTTCTTAGCCAAAATTGAGAGAACTTGATCAGTTCCCAACAAAAAGTGTGTGATGATTATATATATTTTTTCTCTATTCTTTCCACATGGGTCCCACACAACACACTTTATGTGTGTCTAAGATATAAAATTATCTCCTAAACACTAATTCCTTACAAATAATGTGTATCCTAAACACATACATTGATTTATATCTTTTTATATAGGAGAGAACAATTTCCAGATGGGATTATTTATACCTCCCAAGATTCACATTATTCAATATTCAAAATAGCAAGAATGTATCGAATGCAGTGCGTGAAGGTTGGTACATTCGTTTCTGGTAAGATTGATTGTGCTGAACTAAAGACTTTACTACTTGCTCACAAGGACAAGCCAGCCATCATCAATCTAAACATAGGTCTCCTCGTCTTTGACAACTATACACAAATTACAGTTAACAAGCTTATGCACACACTTTTGTGCAAATTGTATATGTAGGCATTTTGGCTAAACTTGAAAGAGTTCATGTTGCAGGGACTACTATGAAGGGAGGTATCGATGACCTTGATCTAGTAATTCAAACACTTGAGGAATGTGGTTTTACTCGTGATCGATTCTACATTCACTGTGACGGAGCACTATTTGGAATGATGTTGCCTTTTATTGAACGGGTGTGTTAAAGTTATTTACATAAACATTATTATATAAAAGCGTTACTTTGAAAGTGTGCTTAGGTATACGTAGGAGATACAGTGGAGGTCGGATGTATGGAGTCCGGAGCATCCCAGCTGAGAAAAGTTTAAAGCAGTGTGATTTGGATTATGGAATCAAATCTTTAGATTCATGAATAGTAGACAATATTTTGGAGAAAAAAAATTATGCTACATTAATTTGTGAAGAAATCTTATTATAATCAATTAAGAACCTTAACTTTGTTAAACAAATTATTAATAAAAAATACTTGAGAAAGCAAATATGTAACTTGGGATGACATATATGACGTCTCATAAATTTTATACTTTTTTTTAAAAATATAAATTCTTATTTGTTAAGTCTTAAAGTTGAGGTCATTAATCGATTATTATTAAAGTCAAGGTTTTAGTACAAAGCTTTTCTCAATCTAAGCTTCAATTTTTTTTTAAGAATGCAAATGTGTAGACCTACCTATTTATCTACATTATTATCTAACTTAAGGATTCAGATGACTCCTACTTAATTATGATTTCATCTACAATATTGTTTGAGTGATTGCACAGGCACCAAGGATTACCTTCAAGAAACCTATTGGAAGTGTAGCCATTTCTGGCCATAAGTTTTTGGGGTGCCCAATTCCTTGTGGTGTTTTAATTACTCGTTTAGAGCACGTGAACGCTCTGACTAGAGATGTTGAAATCATTGCTTCAAGGGATGTCACAATCACAGGTAGCCGTAGCGGGCATGCTCCAATCTTCCTCTGGTATGCTCTTCAAGAAAGAGGTTTGATAGGACTCAAGAAAGAAGTGCAGATGTGTATCAAGAATGCACATCATTTAGTGGATCAACTACGGGATAGTGGCATTGGTGCAATGTTGAATGAATTTAGTAATACTGTTGTCTTTGAAAGGCCTCTGGATGATGACTTTACGCGTAGCTGGAATTTGGCATGCACAGGAGATATTGCACATGTGGTGGTGATGCAACACATTACCATTGAAATGCTGGGCTCCTTTGTCAGTGAATTTCTTCAAAAACGATCCATTTGGTTCAAAGATGGACGGTTTCAACCTCTATGTATTGCAAACAATGTTGGTTCTGGAAATTGTGCTTGTTCAATGCACAAAACATTATCATGATTGAACGTTTATTTACTAATACATATGTGATGTATATAAATAATTGACTCAGTGCGTGGATGCAGTTGTCACTTGTAGTTTTTACACGATTTTTTTTTTTTTTTTAAGTTATAGTATTGTAGTTTTTAAGGCAACACGAATCCGTTAAAAAGATAAAATAGTATTATAATTAGGATGTAATTTTGATATATACAAATTGGGGTTTTAATTTGTCCTTTAACATGATAAGAAAAAATTTCTTACACACACAACATTTTGTGGACCCCGCACTTTATAAAGCAAAAAAAAAAAAAAAAAACTAAGGCACGCAAAACGAATCTCTATAACATTACACAATCACTTTTCCTACAACATAACTCTTATAAAACCTATAGAAATTAGTATAATTATCAACTAATTTCCCAACGTGTCACGTGAAATATTAACTTGTTAAAAGTTTTTAAATTTTAAAGTATAATTTGTATACACAAATAAATTCATTAACTAAATTATAAATGTAATGTTATAAAACTAAGAAAGAGAGACGAGATGAGAGAGATACATATTACAAGATAAGTGAGAGAAGCAAGAGAGAAGATAAGAGATAGATTTCTTATTCTCGTTGATCATCAACATTCTTACAAGTGTCCTGTCCTTTATAAACATAATGAAGGAATAAGTACACTTGAATACATTATTAATGTTGTGGTTACATGGTACATCAAAGGTCATGGGCAAATCCATACATCATGAGGCATTTGAAAAGTCAAGGTCATCCACATATTAAAATATATATTTTGGAACATTCCCCCTTAAATAACTTTATACTATAAATATGCCTAGTCAAAATCTTGCTAAAAAATCTAATGAGATAAAAATTTAGCTAAGAAAAAGAGTACAATATTAACATGCAATTTTTTGTTATATGCTAACTTAGTCTGCCTCATTAAAAACCTTTTAAAGAAAAACTTAGTGGAATAGAAACTTGGTAAAGGAAAAAAAAGTGCAGTGCGTATAACTCCTCCTCAATTAAGTCATATAGCTATTATCGGAGCTAAAGGAGTACAACAACAGTTACAATTTTCCATAATGATAATCTCTTAATTTTCTCTCATAGTAAATCGTAGTAATGTCCATTTATAACATTTTCAGATGGACATCATTGTGCTAATAGACATGCCTAATTAAAATCTTGTTAGAAAATCCAATGGGAAAAATAGCAAGGAAAAAGAGTATGACACGAGTTACCAAAATATCGTATAAATTGTCTCATAAAAAAAACCTTTGGCCAAAAAAATCCTTTAAGAAAAATTTGACAAAGGAAAAAGAGGTAATAAACCTTCAGGGATAGTCATAATAAATTTGCTCCCCTTGATGAAAGTAATCTATTAAGTTTATACATACTTATTCCATATACGATTTTCTCAATTTTCAAAATAGGTAAGGGATTTAGCGAATAAATCTGTAGGATTGTCACTTTTAACGTATCCATCATTCATCTGTGTAATGCAACAGCCTTTCGATACATTGCAATCATAGTTATTAATAACGGGTAGCATCCGGTAGCAGTAAACCTAAAAAATGATATATTGGTATATCGGGTAGCGATGTAGCCGCTACATCGAAGTACAAATAAATTATATACTTCAATTATACTCCACATATAAAAATACTCAAAAATAAAAAATTATTCAGAAGTAAAGACATTCATTCATAATTAATTCTATTGTCACTTTCATTTCAAACAAGGATTTAAAGAACATAAAAGAAATAACATAAATTCATTGAATTTTATATGTTCATAATTGATAACAAAGTCAGAATTTCAATAAAAAATAATAATGTATTAATATATATTCAGATTAATAATATATTTATATTTTTATTCAATATAAAATAATAAAATATATTGATATATTCATATCAATAATATATTTAAATTAATAATATATACTATAAGATATATAAAAAATAGATTAATAATATATTTTATTATTATATATATATATAGATTAATAATATATTTTCCTTGAAGAGAAATTAAAAGAAGCTGCTCACCTAAAAAAAAAGCTAGAGATGAGAGAAAGAATCTTATAAATATTAAGAAGAGAGAGAACGAAGACAAAAAATGAGTGAGAGTGAAAAGGAAACAAAGATGGCACAACTGTGATGCACTTATAAATATTAAAATTGTTCTATCCTAGAGAATCGTAAATGATATATTGTATAGTACGCGTTCAGAGATACCTTATAGAGAGGTATATTGGTTGGCGTATAGCCAATATCTCAATCACTGCACACAAGCAATAGGCTTATAACTGAGACGTGAGTGTGTGCACAATGTTGATGGTAATAGTAAATAGGTCAAAAGTGTGTACCCGGGGGTCTTAAGCCTTGTATTTATAGGGGTTACCTCTTTGCCTATGTAGATCTCCCAGTTATAGTAGGATTCAACTCCTTTTTTGTTGGGATAGAGATTATATCCTTAGTAGCTTTACTATTTCATATTATTAGGATAATTGGGTTATTATCCTTTAAGGAATTTTTGGGTAGGTAGTTAGGATATAGAATACATCCATAACAGTTTCCCCCCAGCTCGGTATTGCGAAGCTCTGAATGCCGGGGTGTTGAAGTATCATCTCGAACTTAGTCTTGCCGAGGTCATTTATGTGATGTTTCGTAGTGATTGTGCCAAAGATTGGAACGTGAGTCTGACATTTAATATGTCGGGTGAGTTATGATTTCGGTCTAGAGAATTTTTCTCTTCCTCTTTTGCCGAGATATCATTTTGTCATTTTTGGTCGTGGTGTTAACCTCGACTATGATGCCATGGATAAGGTCAAGTCTGACCTCTATCATATCAGCTTGACCTTTCGCTTTTTTCCTGCAGTGACAGTTATGACGTTCCTAGTGTCTCATTCTTATTCAAGGGTCGTACGTTGATAAACCTTTAGTTTATCTTATTTTATGGACTAAATTTATATTTATTATCAAGTTAAATAAGTGAAAAATTAGGGTTTTGATATAAAAACATGAACTTTATGAATTATGAATTAAATAATGTATATTTTCTTATTTTGAAGATAATTGAGGCTAATTGGAAGCAAATATGACACTGGGAAGGATAGAGATCAAATCCTGAAGATATGAAGATCTTATTTGAAGAAAAATGAAGAAAATCAAATTCTTGAAGAGGAGGCTAAAGCCTCCAAATTGGAGCTTAAGCCCCCAAAAATTCCAAATGAGCCAAAAGCCACTACCTGAGAGTGCTTAAGCCCCCAACTCAGGGCTTAAGCGCGCTACAAATGAAAAAATTCAAATTCGAAGTGGGCGCTTAAGCGCCCATCAGCGTGCCACGTAAAATTTGCATGCATAATCATGGAGGCTTAAGCGCCCAATAATGCGCTTAAGCACCTCGAAAGACCCAATTTAAGCCCCACTTGAAGTATCCACCTAGGGCACGGATTATTTGCCCATAAAAACACACTTTTGGGGCCAGAATTATACAGTTTTTGACAATTCTTGGCTATTGGAGGCAGAGAGGAAAGCGGAGGAATCACCAGTTTATGTTCTTGAAGGTCGGAGACGGATCGAAACCGAGTCTGCACTGGAAATATTGAAGATTCACCATTCAACTATGGAGTTTGAGAAAGCTTTTCTATTTTCTTTCTTTCTTGATTTTGCCATGTCCGGCTAAGTTTTCATAGTAGTTAGGGTTAGATGGAACTCAATTAATCTGTTATGTTTTGAATAATTCTTGATGTTAATTTTTCTTTTTATCATGAATGAAATTGTCTTTTATTAATGTCCTCTATAAGCTTGAATCTTATAGATTGATCCTAGATAATTGTATGACAATATGAATGTTGGTGCATGATCCGTATCTGACAATTTCACTGTAATCCTTATGATTCTAGGGACAGACATAGGGTTTTGCCCAATCTCATGATTCTTAAACTTAACGCTTAATTTCTAGGGGAATAACCGGGGAACTAGGCTTCTTGCAAGATTGTAAAGATTTAGGGTGTCAAGGGATTGAATCCTAATTACATTAGAAAGAATCGATTGGATTGATGTTAAGGACGATTAAAGTAAAGAAGGAACTCAAACATAATAGAGAGGTTGAGGAAAATCGAAGCCCTAGCTACGTTTATTTTCTGTCAAGTAAATTCAAATCTTTAAATTCTTGTTTTTATTCTTGCTTTTAATTAGTTTAAATATTTTAAATTTCAACTTAAATCTTGTTACAAATACAATTTCAATTGTCCAACTTAAGTAGAAGTAGTGAATTAGTGATTGAGTCATAATCCTCGTGGGAACGATCTCTTACTTAATACATTATATTACTTGTAGGACCGGCGCACTTGCTGTTAGTCCCAACAAGTTTTTGGCGCCGTTGTCGGGGATTATTACTTTAACATTAATAGTAGCTATAGATTCTTTAGATTGGACCTTATTTTCTACTATTTAATTTCAATTTTTAATTTTATTAATCTATTTTCTGGTTTATGCGAGGTACCGTTGACACTGACTCCTTGCACTTCTACCCAGAGATAGAGAAAACAGCAAAAAGAAACAGAAAGATCGCTAAAGAAAGAAAGCAGCAAGAAAAATAGCATCTTTGGTAGTTTGTATTTTTACTGGGAAGGTGGGAAATTTGAGTTGGGAGAAGGAGGCTTTCTCAAAGTCTTTGGCTGATAAGGACGTTCAGTTACAGAAATTGTAGGCCGACTTTGAGGAAGCTCGGACTGTTATTGCAAATGCCGCCATCGAGTCCTTTGAAAACTCCATTGAACAAGCTCGGGTTCTGAACCCTGGCCTTATCACAGAGGGGATGGATGTTGCATATGGCGTGAAGGACGGCTCCATCATTCCTGGGTCTTCGGATCCTGATACCCCTGAAGAGGAAGAGGGCATGACCGAGGTCGATGGTGCCGCTCTTGCTGCTGAAGAATGAAGAGGTCAAAATGCCAACTTTGCAATGTACCTTTTCTGTTTTAGGGGATTGGGTCCCCTCTTTA